GCCAAGGCCTGAATTTCTCATTCTTAATACTGTACCGGCAAGGTATTTTCAAGGTACCAGCATTTTCATCTCTAAGCTGGACTCTCACTGATTTAAAATCTGCTTCTGCGATTAAGAAAAGTAAAACATTACCTCATGAATGAGTACCTTCTGAGGCTGTGACATGAGAAGTGTCATGCCTTGGTACGCTGTCCAAACCCAGCTATTTTTTATTTGAATGGTAGCTATTTAAAAGTGTGATATTGTATGTCGTCAAAGTTGAGTCGCTTATGGAAAGAAATCAAACATGAGACATCACAAGTTTAAATCCTTTTTATCCATCATTCTACAGCTGTAAAATTAACAGCAGCAATGTGTTTCTGTATTTTTTACTGGCACAAAAAGTCAATGTTCAGTGTTAAATACCACAATGCTGAGATGCGAAGATTCACATAATTAGGTTTAAATTTTGATGTGTACAGGAAAACCAGAATTATTTATAATAAATGAAGACAAACAAGAAAGCAGATGTTGATGACTCCTTATTTTTAACCCTAGAAGCCCTATCCATTTTTTGCACTGTACTGTATGTACATCTAATACATTTTAAAAAATATTTTACTGTAGCAAAATAACAGAAAACACAGGAAAAATGTTAAAGTGCTACCTACAGCACAAGAAACTGCTCTATGGTTTTGAGTGCATATGAGAAGTTTTTAGCAAAACTAGCTGATTAATTGCTGCTTTGAAATAGTATTGAAACTCACAGCAAATACAAAGCATCAAATTGCAAAATAAACAAGGAGGATTTTGCTCAGTTTTTGCACACATTTGTATGCTTTTTTAACATGACAAAATCTAATGAAGAACAAAAGAACATCCAACCTTATCAAGCTCCCTACCAAAAAGATTCCATTGAAATGGCAGAACTGGTAGAAGGACAATGTAATAATTACCAGACTGCATCAGTAGCATTGTGAGCAATAGAACTCCATGCCTCCCCAGGTACTGTACCCCTCCACCGTGCCTTCATCCATCCTCAACCTGGGAAATTTAAATCTCTGTATAAATAGTGTCTAGAAATGGCAGTATCTAATAATGCAATTATTATCTGTCGAAAACCACATCTAGATACTCCTAAAACAAGTAAAAAGGTGCATTATGCTTACAGAGCCCCATGGAAAAAGTCATGCCCAAAGGAACTAGTGATGAGTTTCATCTGTTAGAAGGGGTCATGTACACTTGATATTTGTATGCAGTAGTAGTCACCTTAAACATCACCCTGGTAAATTTCTTCATTTGTAACATTTAAATACCTTTTCCAAATCGTAACAGCTGCTTGTGTAATGTCTCTACAAGAAATATAATTAGAAAAGGCCACTCGTCTTGTTCTGCTCCTGAAAACCTGCCAATTATACATTGTGTGTGAAGACCACCCCACCCCATGGGTGGCAGCGTGTAACAGGAGAACTAAGTAAACGAAAAGCCACATCACTTGTATTGAGATGACTGGAACAAGTGAACACCATCCTCCTTAAAAAAATATCTCCTAGAATGTAAGTCCCTTTATTTCTGCAGTGAAAGGACAATTACTTGTAAGGAGTTTCTGATTATGGGAAATAGGAGTGGGGGTGGATAGCACGGTGGCACATGGAAGCATTGCTGCCTCAGAGCACTGAGCACTCTTTCTGCATATCTTTCCATGTTTGCTTTGGTTTTTACAGCTTTGGTTTTTACCAGGTGCTGCGGTTTCCTCCCATGGTCCAAAGACATACAGGTAGCTGGCATGAGATTGAGCATGTCTACGTTTGTGTGTGTGCCCTGATTGAACTAGTGTTCTGTCTAGGGTGTATCTAGCTTACGCCTGCTGCTTTCTGTGATAGACTCCGGCTCCCTGAGATCCTGTATTGGACAAAGCAGTGAGGATGTATAGCTGAAAGAGTGGGAATGCTATATCTTCTAGGGTTTTATGAATATTTCCACTAAACACCAAGATCTAACTGAGTATGTAATGATGTAACCAATACACAATATATCTTTTCTCATGGGACTGCCAGCAGAAATTACTGTAAATCCAGAAGTCTACATGGAGAAACCAGACATAGCTGAAAATGCCACAGTGACACAATTAAACCAAACAGCCTATTGTCACTGAATAATAGAGCATAAATTAAATTTAAGGTTTTGGCAGATCTACAGTAGGCTTGTTCAGATTGTTTTGGAACAGAATTTAAACTTTGGCAATTTAACTGTACTGTACTACAATGGAACAAGTAATAGGTTTATTCCATGCTGAAAAAAAGAAGAAGAAAGAGAACACAACGTTTCGGCCGTGGAGCCTTCTTCAGGCCTTCTTCTGTACTACAATGTACTATGATGAGACTGCTGCATATGTAATTGTTGTATACTGTATACAGTATACAGTATACTATAGCAGTCTTTCTGACAGCAGGCAATGCTGAAAGAATTAATGTCCCTGCATACCTCAATATAGTTATAGGGTGTATATCCAAAAGCACCGAGATTGTGACTATAGGAACACAAGGTGCAGTGGTGAGCAATGCTGTCTCGCAGTGCTGGGACCCCGGGTTCAGCTATGGGCCTGGTGTACTAATGTGCATGGAGCTTGTACTGGATGTTCTCTCCATGTTCACGTGAGTTTCCTCTGGGTGCTCCTGTTTCCTCTCACAGTCCAAAGACATGCTGGCTTGTTTTTTGGCTTCTGGGAAAATTGGCCCCTGGTGTGAGTGTGTGCATGCTAGTGTCGGTGTTGAGATGGACTAGAGTCCCATCCAAGGTGTATCCTATCTTGTGCCTGTTGCTTGTTGGGATAGGCGGTGGCTCCCCCACAAACCTAAATTGGATGATAATATCCAATAGATCTAAGTATCACATCCAGCTGTTTCTTGAAGAAAACAAGGAAACAGCTCCAACAACAATGCTGGGTTGCTTCTTCTGTGCTTCTACAACCCTCTAGGCAATGTCATCAGTTTTAAATGCATTTTCTCATAGTTTCAACTCGTGTCCCCTGGTTTGTGTTTCAGAGTGGTTTGTGAAGAACAGTGCACTACCCCTGTCTGTCTGCAGCAGTCTGAGGCAGGATCAAAAGCTTCCGTTAATAGTTCATTTAGATCTGAGACGTGTGTTGAGAAATATAGGACTTCCACGCTTATGAAAACAAAATAAAACATCTGAAGTCTTGAAATACATCTTAAAAAGGCAAAGATTGCTTTGTGTAAGCTATTTAGCTGTCTGATAACTGTAGTGAGGACAGTGCAAAAAAGCTTAGATGTCTACAAAGGGCCATAGGATAATTTTGTATTATTTTCTTGTTGTAATTACTAGTACTTCTGTGTATAAACGTTACTTGCTTCAGCAACAGTACTACTGTACATTTCTAAAACATGATCAAATTGTTCTCAGACTTACATACAGTACTTTGTCAGTCTATACAGTGAACATACGGCACATATCTGAATGCGTGTGTGTATATGCAGGTATATTTCCGGTCCTGCCTCCACACACTGACATACTGTTGTCTACAAAAATAGAAAGGCTGTGAAATCACGAGACTCTGCAAGTGCATAGTAGAAATTCAGGGGAAAACCCACTGAAATGAGTTTTAATAAAGGGGGTTTGAAACCCACAATTGCTCCCCTTCCTGGTCAGAGTGGCTTACCCATGTCTGGTGCAGAAAGTACAGTCCTCCTACACGCGTGTGTCATGTAATCTTGAATGACTGAAAGCAGAAAATGAAAGCCCACTCATTTCTTTGTCATGTAATGACCAGCATACATTTGAAAAAGAATGACAATGTAGTGGGGATCACACAAGATTCAGAAGGAAGATTATTCCATAAAAAGAAAAAAAGCTGATCTATCCAGCCCCTGTCATTCTGCACGGTAGTGCTGGTTTCTGCCCCCTTAACTATAATGAAAGTCCTTTTTGTCTAGTTTGTGTTAATCTAAAATGTAACTACAGACACAAATGAAAGAGAACAAAGGAGTTATAGATGGCATGAATGTACAGCTACAGGAAATATTGTTCTTGTCTGGACCTCTGTGCCCAAGAGCCAAGCCACTGTGACATAAAGATGCTAAGTATCCCATCTTTAATGTGAAACACATGTGAGACATATATCAACAATACGTGTGCAGTAATCCAGCATGTATAGATAATTCAGACGTAAAGATCTGTTATTTAAGTAAAATGTTGAAGACACCTGGAAATGAAATGATCTGAACAAAAATGCACATAGAACGCAATTTATTGATGCATAGTAAACAGAGCATTTGCCAAAGTAAAAAAAGAGTCTTTAACTTGTTCAAATTCATTAGAATAAAAACCTGTGATACAAATCTTTTATGTCTTTTATTAAATTCTCCTGTAATTGATATATAATATAATAAGTTAGTAAATAAAATAATACATTTAACAATTATAAAACAAGCAATATATGAAGTAATTAAAGAACTCACTACATAAAACAGGAGAGTGGAAGCACTGAATGTTGATAAAACTTGCTTGTAAATTCTCACCCTACTGACCACTGGCTGGTAATGTCAGCCAACTTGACCATGAAGGCAATGGTAAAACAAAACTCTTAAGCAGATCACTTTTGAAGCTTAATAAACTCAGGATCACAATTTCTGAAAAAGATATGTCAAAAGTCTTTCTCACTACACCACCTGAAGCCAGAGTGAAGGGAAATTAAGTCACAATCCAAAACAAAAACAGGTGGGGTATATTTTCAGATGTTACAAGAATAATTATAGTCAAGCATATGTTCTACTTGTAGAGTAGTTCAAGACTCAACACAGTAGGCAAATGAAAAGGTGACCAAGAACTGGCTAAGCAATGACATGGAAAATAAATGTATCCATCAACAGTTTCACATTGATAAGGTCACATTGTTCCACAGAGACTGAGAAACTGTACTTTTCATTTATTTCACTGATATGTTGGCCAGAATGTTTTGTTGAAAATTTTGTGAATGTATGAAAAGTGCATTCTTATCCATACACAGGTGAATAATGTTTATTTTGAATAAATATTTACATACATTCATAGACGACACCTACAATGATGCTTAATATATATAATTTAGAACATTTACAAAATAATAAAACAATATTCAGTTTTGAAGTAGGATACCATTGTCTATTGCACTTATTGTAAAATACTGTAATCCAGAAAAGTCAAGTTGAACACCAAATTAACCACAGTAAGGAATGCTGTAGCTTATGCTGCTTAATAAACACTAAAGAAACGAATTGTTTCTGAGAAGGGGGACTTTTGGAGCTCATCCAAAAATGTTTCTTTTGAAGAATTAAAAGAATCCTTAAAACAGATCCTTCCTAGGATTTCAAAGTACAAAGTCAAAATGGGCATCAAAGACTTGTTATTTTGTTGAGTCCAAAGTACACCTGGAGGAAGTGGGCATCTCTGGTGTTGACTGATATGAGGGGGTTGATTTATTCTTCCCATCCACATATTTCATGGCCTTCTTTACCCACGGTTTCCTGGGATCCGAGCAGACTCTGACTCCTCTAATTGTGGTGAATCTAAAAGAACGAGATAAAAATCTTTATTTTCCATTCCATCTGCCAGTCTCTCAAACCTCAACTTGTACATTTGGAAAAACTGCAGTACATACAGTATAGCATCTAGAAACATTTCTTTTTTATAAACTGCCAAATATCTTATTGTTTTACTCTCATAAAATAAGAATATCAAACAATTCTACTTACACTACGGCTTCAAACAGGCAGACGCCACTGTCTTTCTGTATGTGATAACTTGCAATTTTCTCCCGCTGAAGAACAGTATTAGACGCCTTCAGGCAACAGCTTGCTGTAGGTCCACTCCCTGGAAAAGAAATTACAGAAACGGTTGGTTTGGAATATGAAGTCTCTGCTCTGCTCAACTTCCGTGAAAGAGCTTCATTCAGCAGGATGGCAGACAAATGTAAGTCAAACAGCAAAAGTACTTCTATGGATCCAAACAAAATCCAGACAAATGTTTATTACAGGTTTGTTCATCAAGGTATTGAAAGTGAAGTGAAATATTTAACAGATTTCATTTGAGACAGGTACTGTGACATGAAGATTCTTGAACAAGTGTATTTAAGTATGCTTACTTCAATAATGTTGAACATTTTTTATCTCATGTATATTCACAGATATGAAAAACAAATAACAAATCCAAGAACAGCATGAAAAGCTAACACAGCACATGAGAGTCTTACCTGCACTAGTAAGAGTGCATACGAGCAGCACATTGAAGAGCAAGACCAGGATCGCAAATGGCTTCATTTCTGTAAGTCTTCTGATTTCTGAAGACCACCAAAAGTGTTCTGCTTTTAAATGCTCCTCTTACACAGATCAGAGTGGAAAAAGAAGGTTGTATTTCCTCCCAGCGCCCACCCTCTCACCCCCCTGTCACATACAACACCTTTTACTTTTGTGCCATAGTATTTCGTAGCTGCTTGTGTAGCTGCTGAAGTTCCGGTGCAGTACGTAACCACTATCTTGTCCAGAACCGCATGATGCAGATGCACACTAAAACCTCAACTCGGGGTAATGTCTTTTCAGTACTCCATCTGCCTGTGTTTTAACAGATTAGCAAACTCTGTAGTGGCAGTGAACCATTCAGATTCAATTCAATCTGGCACCAAAGGTAGAAGGGTGAAGGTCTTACTGAACTAGGCTCTATGCAGGGAACCATTTACAGTGAGTAGCAAGCATACATGGGGTGTTCAGTCTAAAGTTTAATAAAGACAGAATTTGTCATGGCTTCACCATGTATCAGTGAGTACCACCTGAAATTTATTTTATACCACAGTTAGGATTTTTATGTGATGCATGAAGACAAATGCCAAACAAAAAAACAAGCCTTGAAGTTTTGACGAGTTATTTGTAGTATTCTTTTATGGTGACTTGCGGCAACCATCTAGTTTTGTATGTATTTCAGTGATATTTCCAAGATATGACAGGTTTTCTACGTTAATAGTGTACAGAGTTCCACATTGTCTGCCAAAGGAACAAGCCTGATAATGGCTGTCAGCATGGGGGTAAAAAGTAATTCACAGAGTCAGGTTTTGCATCATTTTTAAAAGGATTTGTCTATTGTAACTTTGAAAGGTTGAAGCAAAGTTTAGAATTTCAGGACATTCGGGTCCAAGTATTTTCAAAGGGTTTGGTAAGTGAACTGTTGCTAACAGTCAAATTCACAAACTGTATATTCTCGCCCAACCCTATCCCATCACATACTGGAATGTACTACAGTATAAAGTGCAGTACGTACTGTATGGTTAAAAGGCATAGGTAACATGTTAAATAAAGGACTATTGCATGGGCTTTATAGGTATTAAAATAACATTGATCGACTAATACAAACAACAGTAATCACAATCTTTCAACACAGAACCAGCACAACACCATCTCAAAACCAATACAGTCTTCACTACAATATAAAAACAAGACCTCCATGAGACGCGGACACTGGGTAGTAGGTACTTTGCCAGGAGCAGGGGGCAGGGAGAGGCTCACTCTCTAGCTAAATTCATCTTTCAGTCTTAGTCTTTTATACTACGTCAAGTATACGAAAATTGCGCTTAACTACCTTCAACCTCCTGCTCTGCTCTACCTTCATAAAAGACTCCACCAGCCAGATTGGATTGCGAATAAGCGAATTTGCGCATGTGAAATTAGAAGATATCGAGACCCTGCTTTATTGCATATTTTTTTTCAGAGGTCACTGACATATTTCTCGTTGAGAAAATAGCACATATGTTACCATACAAGTTCAATCCTGCTCAACAGTGAAGTCATGAGCGATACTTCTCTTTTTCAGTTCTGGCATTATGGGAATATGGCCTGGGAATCATGAAAAGAAGAAGAAAGGACATGGATACAGGCCTCACATTTTCATCAAATATTTCTGAAATTAGAAAAAAATAAAAACGCAGAGCACAATCTGGTTATAAAATATATCTCAGCAGATTCTTTCATTAACTAATGAAGTGCTTTTTAATCAATTCCAAAATTAACAAACACATGCTGATATATTAAAGCAATAATAATAATAATTATTTGAAGTTATCTGTGCTGTCTAACACTCTATTCAATACTTAAAAGATACACATACTGTAGACACAGCAAGTTAACATAGCTGATACAGAATTTAAGAACAAATGATGGTGATCGTTTATAAAACGGAGATATACTGTAGATACAGTATATCAAGCCAAACAGATCAAGTAGATGAGCTGAAGTCATTCATTACACTCAGCTGTACTCAGCCCAAGGCTGGTAAGATAAAGAAACTTGGTCCTACAGTACATTTAATTAATAAATTCATACCTTTCACAGACAGCGTGAAGGATACATGAATGTATCATTTTGCACAGTGCAAAAGCACCTAAGGCTTAAGGACATTTAATAATTACATTCACCACTATCCATCGCTCTCACAAAATATCTGATTATAAAGCAAGACAGAGAAAAGCATTTGGCAGCTTTATACAGTATCATAATTAAATACTGTATTGAATACTTGTTTGAATTGCTAATAATAATTCTTTTAAATGCTATATAAAAGCAAATTATTTTATTTGGAATTTTATTCTGCCGATCAGCATAACAGAGGTCCATGATGATATCATCCAAACAGCTTGCGAAGGGGAACTTTTTTTATTTGACCACCTTAAACTATTTTGATGACAACTTGGCATACAAATAAATGAGGAGAATGATTTTTTTCCCTATACAATCCAAAGCAGACATTTTAGGGTTACAGACTCTGAAGAAAAGAAAACCAACATTTAAAGAAAGCTAAAAGAATGCAATTCATTAGATTCCAACCAAAGGTCTGCTTTGAAAAACAAATAACACAGAATATAGTGGAGTAAAAAGATATAATATTGAAATACAGGTACAGGTATGTGTAGCTTCAGGTTCCATTCATTCACAGAGCAAAATTTCTCTTGCCAAAGAAAATGTACATTTTGTAAATTTTCTGATACTGCTTTATCAACAGTAACCGTACAGTGTAGTGTGCAATATTTAAACACCTAATAAGACTGCATTCCACACTTCTGCTGTTGTTGTTGCTGGGATCCAGGAGCTAGCATGAACACATGATAACATGTCAAACCTTGAAGAACTTATGAATGTAAGACAGGTCATTACTGGTGCTTAACAACCTATTTTGTATTCATAAACATTTATTAAACGTAAATATGTTGGCAGAAATACAATATCCCTATTGATTTCTACTGGTATATCCTAATTTTCTGTCATTTTCTGTAAGTAAAGAGGGCAGTGAAGATTAATGGACAGCACTAATCTTCTCCAAATGGTAGACCCAGTACTGCTTTTGAGCAAATCAGGTTTTTTATGTTTTAATTGAGCTGAATAAAAAGACACACCAACCAAGTTAAAGTATTACCTATCCTACTCAAATAGTCTTAGTGTGGAAATCTGGTGGTATCATGGTGTGTGACAACACATCTGCACCCTTTCAGAACAACTAGGAAACTCCGTTTTCATGTTCCCATAAGGATTACTCATTGCACTATCCATTCTATATGCTGTCATGCTTTGACAGCTGCACAGCGATGTCAGCTTTGCTCAGACGTAATATTATAATTAATATTAATTGCAATTGGACAATATTAGACCAATGAAACAATGTTTTAAAACATACAGTACTAGAATTATTTATAACTGCAAATTAAACAGATAACTGCACTAAGGGATGCTAGATACTAATTTATCACTTATAAATCTATAATTAGAGTAATCTTGACTTCAGAAGCATATCTGTTACTTTTCTGTTCCTTTACGAAATAAACATTCATGACTAATTCATTTGTAATCAGAAATTATTAGCAGTCTGTGGTTGAAGACACCAAAACCTTTTATTAATGTCCCCTCACCACAAAGGAGGGAGAAAAAAGACCCATCGTTGGTGTTTGCTGATGTGAGCTCTGTGGTCATCTGCAGTGACACGAGTGGAAGGAACACTTTGTTTCCTCTGTGTGTGTTGCTAGCTGAAACCGTGAGTCCTCTTTCTCTTCACATGCTGAAGAAGAGAAACTACTACAATTTAATATCACGCTTTATAACACTCTCATGTGTGTTTCAGAAGGTTGCTTGTTTTTTTTATACAGTAGGTACAGTACTTTGAAACACAAGTTTGTTAGTCATGAAACCATGTAAGTGGGGGTGTTTTAAGAACTGTAGGATGATGTGTGGGCGGGAGTAGAGGTGGTTGGTGGTTGATTTACTGCTATTTGCTGTTTTATAACCTTTCACTTGTTAGTGATATGTGTTGTGTACGTTGTATATATGCTTCCCTTTTTACAAATGTCTAAATTTCACAAATGAGCACCTACAGAAGACTTAAATGTTGTTTCCAAACATGGTCTTCTCTGGAACAAAGTTACACTGAAGCTACCCACAGGTGGATAAAGGCCCATCTCAGGTCTCGCATGCTAAGTATCATTAACTGGGATAATCTATAGAAAAGTGGACAGGTGGGTTCTTTACGATGAAGTGGCACAAAAAAGACTGAATGCCTGGGAAATGTAACTAAGCTACTGTAAATTCAACATCTACCTCCTGTTCTCTCTAACACATGGCTGAGACATAGATGTGTGCATGACAGAGTAAAAAAGAGACATTAGTGAATCAAAAAAGCTAGCAATACCTAAAATACTGTAAATATCTGTTTTCCTTTAAAAACAGACAGTGAGCTGTTAAAATAAATAACTCCGGTACTGAAATAGCAGTTGTCTATAAGGAGTTTCATACAAGAATTATATTTTCTTGTCTGGGTTTTTGTTGACCCTCCTATTTCCTTTTGATGTATTAGGATTTGCGTTTTTTGTGTTGAAAGGTTCAAAGGGTTTGGAGACGTCAATGTTGACAGTTTTCATGATCCAGTCAACATGTGAGGTAGTTTTCTTTACAGCTGTCTCTGTTGGATGTCAACCATTGTGACTTTGTACAGTTGTGGAAATTCTAAAAGAAGAAAATGAAAGCATTCATTTCTCTAATCAGGTAATATATACTGTATGTAGTTAAACAAAAATGGAGATTTTCAGAAAGAATTCAATATCAAATGCTCCAAAAAAACACATCATGATTGATCAAGGACCCCCATGCAAACTGAGGAGTGACCAAGGGGCAGCTACAGAGGTGGAGACAGGGTGGAGGTAGCATGCAAAAGACAAACTGTATCCAAGGAAGAGAAGGGGGTCACATACAGTACAGTATTAATAGTGTTTTAGAACAGGAAATGACATCAGGAGTGACTGCTAATTGCCGACAGCCGAGTCGGATTGAATTTGATTGTAGTCATCCCTACTGAACTTTTGTTACAAGCCCCATTAAATACACAATATGTATGCAGCATCT